GATCCAAAACAGGCATGTAGGAAGAAGTCTCAAGACCCCCAGAAACAGGGACCTCGACACCAGGTGTTGGCGAACTAAAGGCTAGCTCCCGAGAAACGAGGTCAGCTAAAAAAGGAGTAATGGCAGAAGTGGCAGGCAATGTATCTGCCTCAGGAAGCTCAGCATCAGAAGGCTCCAAGGCTTCATTCTTGTCCCCTGTAACAGTTCCTTCCGCTTCTTCCTTAGCGAGGATGTCAAAGTCGAAGCTTAGATTGGGGTATGTTTTCTCAGCAACGTCTTAGAAGGCAAGCCACCCAGTGACCCACTTCGTAGATACATCATCTTTCAGTTGGGCTATATCTTCCTTCAACTAGGATATTGTATCGTCTCTTTGGAGTATGATGGCCTTCTTCTCCTAAGATCCTGGCGAATGGCATCATTTGCTTCGACTACATTATCATACTCCTTTTTCATATTCTTGAAAGAACGCAGGGCCTCAAGAGTTTCCTCACTAGCTCTAACCCAAGCATCGTTCTTAAGCTCTAGCTCCTCTTTGGCCTTTTTCTCTGCATTTTCAGCTCTCTCTTTCCCTGCCTCCAAATCTCGAATAAAGGAGGCTTGCTTCTCCACCTGCTCCTGGAGCTCCTAATTTTGAATGCGAATATCTTCGTTGCTAAAAGACAACTCAGCAACTTTAATCTCAAAGGCCTTTGTGACCTTGGCTGAAATTTCCAAAGAGAAGATCCTCTCTATCAAACCCTTCACGTGGAGAGCTAACTGAAAACAAGAACAGATGAGACGAAGGTTAGCACCAGATTACAACGTGCAAGAAAAGAAGAAAGAGAGAGATAGACATCTACAGTAGTTGCTCCATGAAGGGCTGAGCTTATTGAAGTCTCAAGTGGCATGGATGAAGCTCTTTGAATATCAAATTCAAGAAGAATGGAGCTAATTGCCCCGACAGCAAGCTCAATATTTTCAAAGAAGGAGCCCAAGTTACTTTCCACCTTGGGGATCTTTCATTTCCCAATGTTGGTGTCCACAAGGCGTGACGGGGGAAATTGACTGGAGGTCGCAGGAGAACTGGGCATGGGCAAGAACTGAGAAATCATTCCCAGGGCCCTATCGACCTTAGAAGAGGTTGGGGAGATCTGCCCTTGCTCGAGAACCCTACTGGGCACAAGCGGAGACCTTGTAGGAAAAGAACACTCTGTGGCCTGCAGGTTGAAAGAAGGATGAATGGCTGAGGTCGGAGTAGAAGCAGAGGAACCGGGGGCACATCCATTTTCTGTATCTTGGTTGGAAGAACAACCTCGCTACCTGATCCATCCTCAGCCTTGCGTTTACCACTACTTCTGATCTTTTTCATCTGGAAAAGTTTGGCTTGGAGCTCTGCTGTGGTTGGCTTCATCATAGATGACCCTGAGAGCCCAGAAACAGATAAGAACATATAAAAAGAGGTGAGAATAGAGAAAGTGAAAAAGGAGAAGTCAGGAAATACCGGCTGCCTCCTCTGCACTAACAACAGAGAAAGGAATAGGAGCTTCTATAGTTACTTCAGGGAGGCTAAACCCCTCCGCTACAAGAACCCAAGATTTGATGAGCTCAGAATACTTCTCTGAGTTGCAACCCTCCAAAGACCGCGAAATTCGCTCATCGGTGGCACTAAGTTCAGAACGGATACCTGAGAAGCAGGGTAAAACAAGCAAAAAGAAATCAGCCTAAAAAGCTCAAAAATTGATACAAGTTCACTCAGATGAGGACTTACCCAAGTTGTCTGGGGCTCTCCAGACCTGAGGGATTGGAAGAAAATCTGATTTATCTGCAAGATTGTACTCCTAGTGATTGCCCCCCACGAAGAAGAAGAGTTTCTTCCAGCTCTTGTGAGAGCTCGGGAGGTCAGAAATAATCGTTTTGGCTTTTACCCGTTTCAAAATATACATAAAACTGTCTGTTGGGGTATACTTAACATTGAAATACTCCATCAACAAAGAAACAGTGGGAACCCCAAGCTTATGTTTCTTAAAGAAAACAATAAGGCCCACTAGAACACCCCAGAAGTTGGAGGAGATCAGAGCAGGGCAGACATTAAAGTATTGCAAAACACTCTTTATAAAGGGGTGTATTGGAAAACGAAGGTCATTATCGAAAGCAACCACAAAAAAACAGACCTTCTTATGGACTTGGGAGACATATGGGGTAAACTTATCTAGACACCAACATTGGATGCTAAGAGGGAAACAAAAATGGGCACCAAGAAGTTTCATAAGGGAAGGAGTGACCTCATTGGGGCCCGCGAGCTCTGCGGTCCTAAAAATAACCTCCCCCCTCCCCCCCCCCCCCCCACCCTCAGCACTGTCGGAGTCACCAGTGTCGCAGACCTTGGCCTTACCTTTGTTGGGGTTTTGTGGGGCAGGAGAGGCAAAGGAAGGAATCTCCGTAGGGCTTCCCTCAGACTCAACAAAATCGACACCGGAAAATTTATCAATCTCCTCACCCACCTCACTTAGGTCAGAAGCCTCCTCAGCTGATCTATTCCCTAAGGGGGAAATCGAGGAGGGGTGGCTCCAGAAGGGGCAAACATATTGGGACAAGAAAAAGGGAGGCTAAAGGTGCGGTAAAGGGGAGGAATATTTGTGAAACACTCTCTAAGGGTCTAGGGGGCAACACAGCAATTTCCAATAAGGAAAATCCTAGCGGTTGAATAAGGGTCTAAAAAGAGGGGAATACGAGATAAAGATTGACCTATATTCCTAAAGTAGCATAATCGAAAGGTCCAAAAATGAAACAACCACCTTAAATTTGAGGGGTCCAAGACGAAGAAGCACGAAAGGGACAAGAAATGTACCTAATCCTTCGAAGCAAGAAATGAAGAAGCAAACCTCGCTAAGCTTTCTGGCCAAATTAGAGAAAATCATCTCTCTACAAGAGCCCTATGAACAATAGCGAATTGGGAAAGATGGAATCACAGATAAGGATGGGAAAGCCAAAGAGAATTCGAAGAGTGAGGTGGGAGTTGTTGGTCCAGGGGCATTTAAAGCTAATGGTACAGAATTGGGAACGTGCACAAGAAACTAGGAAGTGAAATGATTGCCTGAAACTGTCAAAAACTTGGTCGCTCGTAAATCGAGTTCTATATCTAGAGGTCTGCCTTAATCAAGCCTCAACTCAGCCCCTGCCCAAGTTCACTTGGGCTAGGGGGGCAACTGATGATACTCAGAATAAATTTCAATTATGAGCCCATACGCAGAGGTCGGACAAGCAGGCCAGACCAAGAGGTCAAGAAAGATGCGCAGAGCTCAGAGGATCAGAACTAGACCTCTCCCCAGACATGCCAGCAATGGAAAATATAAGGGAGTTGTTGGATGACAACAAAATCTTATAGGTGGCAAAGAGCCATATTTAAGGGACAAAATCCTTAAATAGCCAGGATTCTCTCCTAAGATCAAGGAGGGTTCCTCGGGTAAATAGCGAGGATCTCGATGCAGATCCCACAGAAATAGGAACAGCCCTATAAATATTATGTAACTCCCCCAAGGTGAGGGGAGAACCCTAGTAGTATATACTCTATCCTGTAAACTTACTGAATAAGAAGAAAAAGAAAAAAAAAACAAGAATTTCCATTGAAGAATGAATTAACCGAGCTCCTCAGTTGGTGAACCACTTTAATTCTATTGTGTCAATCCCCCAATTTCCCATTTTTTGATACTAGTCTTCGCTCCTTCGAGCCTTAAAGCTCAGATCCTAAGAACTAGTTATTGATCATCTCATCTGCTCATCACCATAAGTTTGCACCAAGTTAATTAATATTCATCAACACTCATTACACCTCTCGAGAACGAATCTAGCTAGAGTAGCATAGCGGTCAATTACCGAGTCCCAATGTGAACTCTAAAATTTGAACCTCTAATCTCAGGGTGAGAAGTTTAGTTGGTATCCCACTACAGTCTAATTCTTATACTTGCACAAAAAAAAAAAATTTAACATTTGAAAATGAAAAAAAAAACTGTCATTTGAACATACACAATATGCAATATTAATAACAGTGAACTACACATAAAATCTCAAAATCAAAAAAAGTGAACTACAAACAAAATGTAAATCAAGAAAAAAATAATGCACATAACATAGAATTAACAACTTCATAATGATGCATTAAAAACAATCAAAAAAACACAGTGAACTAAAAAATTGAAGACTAAAAAATAAAAAAAAAATGATGAATCCACATTGAGATAGGTTTTCAGTTTTGAGATGTTGGTTTTTAGTTTTGAGATGTGGGGTATGGTTTTGTAGTTACGAGGGGATGGGATTACAATTGGAGAGTTGGGGGTTTTGGCGGGTAGAAGTAGAGCGGGGAGTTTTTTATTTATATGACAAGATGGTTATTAATTTTTGTGGTGTCTATTTACTTATTTATTTTAATATTATTAGTAGGTGATTCTATATCACATTGTCATGTGATATCAATGTTGTAATGAATATTTACTCCAAGTCGAGGGGCAGATGCGAGTCAATTTTTTGGGAATAGTATTTGGATTCGTGTAGTTAGTTTGATTTAGTTTTAATTAGAGGGTAAAATAGTCTTTTCGCAATTTTTGTTAGGCATGTTAGTTGACGGTTAATGACAGGGAATCTTAGTGTAAATTTTCCAATATATGGGATCCATCTATTTAAGTGATAAATTTTAGGGGTTGAAATATAATTTATTCTAAATCTACACAGCATCTTCCATTGTATGTACACTAACGTAAGCCACACAATGCAAGTAAGAAGAAATATTGGTGACGGAGTTTATTTGAGAACAACTGACCTAATTTATTTTATATATTACAGATCCGAGGTTGAAACATCCCACCGCCTCGGTTTCATTTTAATTCGAAAGAGAGAAAGAGAAAGATGAATAGGGTATCGGGGGTATCGGGTTTCTCGTTATTGCCGGAAGGTTGCATATCGGAGATAATAGCATTGACATCACCCAGAGATGCTGGCAGGGCATCGGCGATCTCATCGGCGTTCAAGTCGGCCGCCGAGTTTGACAGCGTGTGGGAGAAATTCCTGCCGTCGGATTATCCGGAGATCATATCGAGGTCCGTATCTCCGGTGGTTTACTCCACCAAAAAGGAACTATACTTTCTCCTCTGTGACACTCCCATCCTCCTTGATGGAAGTAATCTGGTAACTCTATCACTCTTATACTTAATTTTTTTCTACTTGGCAATTGAAATTTTGTATGTCCGTTGGTGTTTTTCTCTCTGTATGTCCGTGCGTGTGCGTGTGCGTGTGCGTGTGTGTGGGGCAGATGAAGTGGATAAGGATTTGGATCCTCTCAACTTGAAAATTTGGCAAATTTGAACCAAGTTGAGTATTCATTGTGCCGCTTGTGGGTTTTGATGTGTGAAATATGAGATTTGCACATAATATAGGGACCTAAGGAACTGGAATCTATGGAGCACGGACAAGCTCAAGAGGGTGGCATATCCGGGTCGACATCACCACTCTTTGGACATGGGTTTGATACACTTTTATTAGTATCTATAATCAAATGATAAAATTTTTGAACACGAGTCCGACACTTCTTTATACTGTGTTTTTACTAAATAATAAACCTATATTGATATGTGATTAACAAAAATTAAAAATTTGACTGTTAAATATCTTATACTATGAGAGAACATATAATTTTTAAGACTTAAAATATGATAACAAAAATAAATGATGTATTAAAGATTTAAAAAAGGATAATAGAAAAAATGAAAGTAGTTATTTAAATTATATGTCTAGTACACGTCTACGAAAAAATTAATAATTATTAACTATTAGGATGTTAGTTCAAAAATTTATAAATATTAGATATAACATTTACTTTCCATGAAGTACTGAATTTTCTGTGAATAATATATCATTATCGCTGTGTGATAAATTATATGATTTTATATATAAAACAAAATTATTTATAGCGTCTTCCCAACGTGTCCATATCCTATTTTGTTGAGAAATGTCGTATCCTCGTGTCCGTGTCCGTGTCTTTGTCCAATGTTTTTATCCATGCTTCTTAGACTAGAACTAGTAGATTAACAACTAATCCAACTTCAATAATAAGTTAGGTCCTCATTAGGTCCCTACAGTACCGTGCTTTATGTGTTCCATCGATACCTATTGCAATCCAAAAAATTCAACTATGGCCTATTGAATTGGATTTAAAACGGCAGAATTTGAGAGAATAGTGTTTTTTAATTGGTTACATTGTAACAAGCGCACAAGGCTTGTCCATTTTTAGGAAGCATTGATTGGAAGCATTACCCCATTTTTAGGAGGTTGTTTCTCAAAGCTAATTGATTGTAAAGGGGCTAAATGAATTTAAGGGTAGAAGATTGAACCTAACTAATATTGGCAATATTTAATAAAATCTGAATGGATAAATCCAATGCTCTGAGAGCATGCCGCGTATTTTGGGTTGTAAGGATGAAAATTTTAAAATTCGATATGGAATCGGACCCAACAGTTGGTTGCAGAAGCAGGCTAGACAATTATTTTAGTGGTTAGATGGTTGGTGGGGATTTTCAGTCAAGGCATTCTATACGCTAATGTTTATGCACTTGTGTTTTAGGAGAGTGAATAAATGTGTTTCAATTACAAAGGTGAATTTGAACCTGATTGAGCTCATTGCAATGGAGACGAACTTTGTGCTTTTTATCAGTTAAATTGACTTCTGAGGTTTAAGGTCTAGTTCATCACTCTGAAACTTGAAAATTTGCTTGCAATGTTTTAGGAAATTGAACAATATCATTTGTCGTAGTATTTGATCATGATTTCTCGTAGGAACCTACTTTTGCTAAAATATTTGTAGTTAATCTAAGGACTTTCATTTGACTGTGAGTGTTGGCACAACGGTAAGTTTACTTTATTGTAATCTAAGCATCAAGGGTTCGAGTGGTGGAAATTACCTCTACTCATGAGGGGTAGGGCTGCTTACATCGAGCCCTTACTTGAGCCAGTAGTTGTGAAAGCCTCATAAACTAGACAACCCTGTAATCTAAGAACTTTCAATTGTTGCAATGTGCTTCCTCTAGTCCTTCGAAAACCAAGAGGTCGTTTGAGTAAACCAGCACAATGGTAGAAGTTTTACATTACATTATGGCCATAGAGCAATGTAGAACCCAAAATGAGATTAAGTGTTTGATTTTTTTTGCAACTAAACTTTATATTTGACAACAACTTTTTATATGTTGCATATTTATTTGATATTAAAATATTTGTAATTGTTAATAACAGAGCTTCATGCTGAATAAATGGAGCGGGAAAAAATGTTATATGCTACAAGCAAGAGAGCTTTCGATTGTGTGGGGAGATACTCCAGACTACTGGGAATGGACTTCTTTGCCTGAATCGAGGTCTCTCTCTCTCTCTCTCTCTCTCTAGATATATATATATACATATTGTAAAGAGTGTGTGTGTATGCAGTGATAGAACTACTTGGAGACCAAAGGGGGTCGTGGTTCCCCTCACATTTTAAAAAATTACCCCTTTAAGCTTCCAAAAACCTTATGCCTCCTCTTGGGTTTTCAAAAGTTTACTATATATGTATTTCATTTATTGTAGTGAAAAAACTTAATGGTTTGACAATTTTAACAAACTACGGATATTGATCACTTGGATGAGTTTGATGACCAAAAGAAGAAAAAAGGAGAAGGAATGTTGGCGCAACATTGTGTTACAAGCACGACTTATATCTTCGACAATGCACTGACCCATAACTCATTGTTACGATAATATCATTAAACTAATATTTATTATGGTAACTTGTTCGTAGTCATTACATCATGTCATTGATGAAAAAGAAATAAGGAGACCATGATATTATTATAAATTAATTTTTGCAATGTTAAGTAAGGATCAATTATTGAATTTTATAACCCAAATTAATTTTAACAATTGTATCACATAGAATCGTTGGATAATAAATTGTTGAATTATCTCATTGCATGGAATTTTGAAGTGTCACTATTTCTGTTTGGCCCTCTTCGCGATAAAATCCTGATTCCGTCAGTGTGTGTGTGTGTGTGTAGACATGTGAGTGTATAATGGCATGCGGAGGAATGAGGTCCCGTGGTCTACCTAGTATTTACTTGTTTTTCCATGACTGAGTGATATACAGAGTTCTATATGTCCAGATTTCCTGAGGTGGCTGAGCTCCTGCGTGTATGTTGGCTTGCTATTGGAGGCAAGATGCAAACTCAGATGCTATCCCCAAAGACCACCTATGCAGCTTACCTTGTCTTTAAACTTGCAGAGTGGAACCATGGGCTTGATGTCCCGTCAAAGGCATCGGTTGGATTTGTTGCGGAAGGCCAAGAAGGAGCTGAAGATTCGAACCACACAGTTTACTTGAAATTGGCAACAGATAGACCTCAACCTTTGCGAGGATTGCGTAGACGTGCAGCTAGACAACCCAATGGTCGGCTTCCGCAGAAGAGAGTAGATGGGTGGATGGAGATTGAGTTGGGGGAGTTTTTCAATGATCTTGGAGATGAGGGTGAAGTGGAGATGCAATTAAATGAGACCCAACAGGGTCATTGGAAGACTGGTCTCATTGTGGAGGGCATTGAGCTTCGGCCTAAAGAGGAGAAATAAATTGAAAAGATAAACATGCACATAGTTTTATCTATTTATGCGTTGTGTTGAATGATGTGGTGTTCTCATTTTCTGGTTAGTCTTGCACTCTATATGCTTTTGGTTGAATTCTGCACTAATTTTGGGCTTTTAATACTTGTATTACCGTTAGTTAATGTACATGTGCTATGCACATGAACTATTTCTAATAATATTCTATGTTTTTATTTGATCCATTTGTTGTGGTATGGGTCAACAAAATATTTGGATTGACACATTACCAACAGTTCGTAGCTCGATTCATTACCAATAGTAAATGACCGAAGGACATTGGCACTCTCCTGACTTTGTGGCGAAAGGAAGAAAAGAGGATCAGGCAGTATGTCACTAGCTATTAGACACCAGGTATTAGGAGGAGGTCAACGAAGTAAAGGGCCGCACAGAGGTGATGATAGTTGTCTCTTTCAGGCTCGGGCTTGATCGAGGCACGGACCTTTATCGGTCCTTGACGAAAAGGACATGGACCAGCCTTAGAGACCTAATGGATCGGATAGACAAATATGAGAAGGTCAAAGATGATATAGTTGGGGTGGCAAATGGTCCATTTCCAAGCAAAGGGAGAAGGATCAGCCGGGCAAGAATGATGGATCTTCATAGGACCCGACTAGACTATCTTTCTTGGGAATCTGCATGATCTTCGAGGAGCCCATCTATACTGTAACATGCATATCTTATTTGTACGCCAACTAACTTAGGTATCGGAAGAGATCCGTCATGCCACTTTCCTAATCTTGTTCTCTGTTTCAGGAATCTCATGTGTGGTTCAACTGGGTACCACTACTTCAATGACTGCACATAAATCATCTTGTGCACTAAACAAGTTGCAAAAATTTGAGGTTAGACCTATAAAATTAGGTATCGACCTAAAAGGTTATGATTGATTATAAATCGCTATCTGAACTTACACTATTAGAATTGTAACTCGACCAGATTGAACTATGATTTTCTTTACAAAAAAATGAAAATTTACTTTTTAATACACACACACACACATATATATATTACTTATAAATGTCAATATCTGTGAAAAATTTTTAATTTTTAATTTTATTCATGATTATTATTTTAAAGACAATTGTATTCACATATTTACTTTCTTTTATTTTTTAATTTTTTATATATATATTAGACTTTCAAGTTTTTTAGACTCCTTTATTAGTAGTATTTGACTTCTAAATACTTTTGAACTATTTTATCAATAGTATATTTACATAAAGTTTTGATATCAACCTGTAATTTATATATTTATATTTATAGATATAGAGCTGTCATATTGAATTTTATGGTCAAATATATGTCTTATTTAATTTTTTGGTATGCAATAATATCATAATATTATAGTACAAATAATAGTATTACAACCAAATCAATCTCGTCGACAAAAAATTAATTAAATTTATCATATAATCATATGTGAAAATAATCTAGAATTATCTTAAAAAATGATAGATTATGTATTCAAAGAATGGTTGAATAAATTAATAATTAAGTTTAGGAATAATTAAAATAAGAATTAATTATTTGACATACAATTAATTATTTAATTTAATTATAAATAAAATAATATTTTATAAAAAATATTAAATATATATTCAACTGCAACACATCCGTGATTTGATAGTAAAAAAATAAAAATTAAAAAAGACGGACAAGCAAAAGTGGTGGAGAATCTTGCATTCGCCCACCCAAAACCTGTCTTAAATGGTTATACAAAAAAGGGATGTAAAGGGGACTTTCTCCTTGTCCACATTTGCCATTTAGTCTATTGTGAATCCCCTAGTAAAAAAAATAAAAAAATCCCCCTAGATTCCTTGTCACGCAAAAAAATGTAAATATATATAGGAAAACCCGTTAAAAAAAAATCAGTATCATACCGCCAATTATCATTTTTTATGGTACAGTTATTAATTTAAAAGGGGAAGTTACAACTCATCAAGGGAAGCTCATGACCAATCAAAAACTCTCGATATCTATTTAAACCATCAATGATCGATCATACCTTTTAAAATTATAACTTATACCTAAAAAAAATTATAAATTAATATTAAAAAGTTATAATTTTCGGTACCTTACAGGCGACAATATTGTAGCCTTTCCCACAAATATAAGACCAAAAAGATATTCTTTTCCACCTTTAAAATATCCCTTCCACCTTCTCTCCCTTCCTTCGAAATTCCCTTCCTAAAGATGTGCTTAAATTGTATAAGATTTAAATAAAGGCTTCAGTTACTTAATGAATAAGGTGTTAGGGATTCTACAGGCTTAAAAACACTTTTGCCCCTGAATTTTGTCCTTTATTTGATTTTGCACTGTAGACAATATAGTTTTCTCAAGTTAATATTCAACATATGCGACATGATTCTGACTACCAACTTGAAGTATCCTGCAATATTGACCACCAAATTTGAAAAATACAAAAACTTCATTTGAAGAAAAACTAAAGCAATCGGTGTCAATAGGTTGTGTCGTATATTAAACTTACCTCGGCTCCAACCCATGTATAATTGTGTATAAACGGTTTTCAATCATATTCAACTCATTTGATCAAAAGTCAAAACTTATCCTAGTTGATAACAATTTATTTGTAGGAAGATAGCAAGAAAATACATTAATAAAACCCATCAACACATGGTATAGGAAAATTCCTCGGCAATGAAGTATAACTAAAAAAGTTTTAGAAATTTTTAAATGGAACTCACACCCCTTCCTCACAAAGGGCATAAAATTAATTTTAGCATTTTCTTTTGATCAAAAATCAAAACTTATCCGAGTCTATAACAACTTATTTTGTAGAAAGATAGTAAGAAAATACATCAATAAGACCCATCAACACAAGGTATAGGAAAATTCCCCCGCAATGAAGTATAACTAAAAAGGTTTTAGAAATTTTTAAATGGAAATCACACCCCTTCCTCACAAAGGGCAACAAATTCATTTTAGGATTTTCTTTTGATCAAAAGTCATCCGAGTCCAAAACAACTTATTTTCTAGGAAGATAGCAAGAAAATATATCAATAAGACCCATCGACGCAAGGTATAGGAAAATTCCTCCGCAATGAAGTATAACTAAAAAGGTTTAAGAAATTTTTAAATGAAACTCACTCCCCTTCCTCACAAAGGGCAAAAAATTCATTTTAACATTTTCTTTTGATCAAAAATCAAAACTTATCCGATTCCATAACAACTTATTTTGTAGCAAGATAGCAAGAAAATACATTAATAAAACCCATCAACAAAAGGTATAGGAAAACTCTTCTGCAATGAAGTAGAAATAAAAATGTTTTAGGATTTTTTAAATGGAACTCACACCCCGTCTCACAAAGGGCAGAAAAGGCATTTTAACATTCTCCTTTAATCAAAAGTCAAAACTTATCCGAGTCCATAACAACTTATTTTGTAGGAAAATAGCAAGAAAATACATTAATAGGACCTATCAACACATGGTATAGGAAAATTCCTCCGCAATGAAGCATAACTAAAAAAGTTTTCGAAATTTTTAAATGGAACTCACACCCCTTCCTCACAAAGGGCAAAAAATTCATTTTAGCATTTTCTTTTGATCAAAAGTCAAAATTTATTCGAGTCCATAACAACTTATTTTGTATGAAGATAGTAAGAAAATACATCAATAAGACCCATCGACACAAGGTGTAAGGTAAAAAATTCATTTTAGCATTTTCTTTTGATCAAAAGTCAAAATTTATCCGAATCCATAACAACTTATTTTGTAGGAAGATAGGAAGAAAATACATCAATAAGACCCATCAACACAAGGTATAGGAAAATTCCCCCGCAATGAAGTATAACTAAAAAGGTTTTAGAAATTTTTAAATGGAACTCACGCCCCTTCATCACAAAGGGCAAAAAATTCATTTTAGCATTTTCTTTTGATCAAAAGTCAAACTTTATCTGAGTCTATAAAAACTTATTTTGTAAGAAGATAGCAAGAAAATATATCAATAAGATCCATCGACACAAGGTATAGGAAAATTCCTCCGCAATGAAGTATAACTAAAAAGGTTTAAGAAATTTTTAAATGAAACTCACTCCCCTTCCTCACAAAGGGCAAAAAATTCATTTTAACATTTTCTTTTGATCAAAAATCAAAACTTATCCGATTCCATAACAACTTATTTTGTAGCAAGATAGCAAGAAAATACATTAATAAAACCCATCAACAAAAGGTATAGGAAAACTCTTCTGCAATGAAGTAGAAATAAAAATGTTTTAGGATTTTTTAAATGGAACTCACACCCCGTCTCACAAAGGGCAGAAAAGGCATTTTAACATTCTCTTTTAATCAAAAGTCAAAACTTATCCGAGTCCATAACAACTTATTTTGTAGGAAAATAGCAAGAAAATACATTAATAGGACCCATCAACACATGGTATAGGAAAATTCCTCCGCAATGAAGCATAACTAAAAAAGTTTTCGAAATTTTTAAATGGAACTCACACCCCTTCCTCACAAAGGGCAAAAAATTCATTTTAGCATTTTCTTTTGATCAAAAGTCAAAATTTATTCGAGTCCATAACAACTTATTTTGTATGAAGATAGTAAGAAAATACATCAATAAGACCCATCGACACAAGGTGTAGGGTAAAAAATTCATTTTAGCATTTTCTTTTGATCAAAAGTCAAAATTTATCCGAATCCATAACAACTTATTTTGTAGGAAGATAGGAAGAAAATACATCAATAAGACCCATCAACACAAGGTATAGGAAAATTCCCCCGCAATGAAGTATAACTAAAAAGGTTTTAGAAATTTTTAAATGGAACTCACGCCCCTTCATCACAAAGGGCAAAAAATTCATTTTAGCATTTTCTTTTGATCAAAAGTCAAACTTTATCTGAGTCTATAAAAACTTATTTTGTAAGAAGATAGCAAGAAAATATATCAATAAGACCCATCGACACAAGGTATAGGAAAATTCCTCCGCAATGAAGTATAACTAAAAAGGTTTAAGAAATTTTTAAATGAAACTCACTCCCCTTCCTCACAAAGGGCAAATAATTCATTTTAACATTTTCTTTTGATCAAAAATCAAAACTTATCTGATTCCATAACAACTTATTTTGTAGCAAGATAGCAAGAAAATACATTAATAAAACCCATCAACAAAAGGTATAGGAAAACTCTTCTGCAATGAAGTAGAAAT